GTGGATCCAAAGCTGTCTTTTGCCATTTAAAATGTAACACTGCCGAAAAGTAGTGACTAGTTCATCTAAGTCTATCGGCTGGCGGGGTTGAACTCTGCCTTTGAACTCATAGGGAGCGTGAGCGGGGAAAAAGACCCAAGAACAGTAGATTTCCCTCTGCTGTTTTCTGAGAGATAGTTACGATGGATGTTACCTCTTTTTTTGTTAGAAACCAGTGACAGAAATGGCTGGGGGTATTTATATTTATATTATTATATTTATATTATTTATAAATATATATTTATGTTTATATTATTTATAAATATTATATTTATATTATTATATTATTTTTTTATAAACAACTCTTATGGGGGTGAAAATGCCTAATATTCCTTCCTTCTATTTTCCCCACAACAACCTTGTAAGGTGGGTTGGGCTGAGAGACAGTGACTGGCCCAAAGTCATCCAGCTGGCTTTCCTGCTTAAGGCGGAATTAGAACTCAGGGTCTCCTGCTTTCTAGCCTGGTGCTTTAACCACTAGACCAAACTTCACATTCCTTCCACATTTCCCTACGTGACATTTCTCAATGTGACTGGGTTTTCTCATGTATAAAGAATATTATAGCATGAGGCAGATACTTGCCTCATGTGCCTTGAATGACAGTCCTGATTTGTTTTGTTTTATGACCTATTTGCTTGTTTTCATAGCTATCATGAGTCTTTTCCAATAGTAAACTTTTTCTATCCTTCTTCAAAGTTTACATCCATGGAACATTGTTTTCATCTTCAAGTGTATGGATTTAAACTCTCAGTTCTACAGACAACAGTCTGTCTACTCTAGAGCATTCTGAAATTTGAAGTCTATCATCTTAAAAGTTCCTAAGGTTGAAAAACACCCATATACTATTACAGAGTAAAATGAACAAAATGGTGATATCTATACATTTATTCAATATATTAGTAGCTTTAAGAATTCATTAACATAGATGAAATCATTCTATTTCAGAAACTGGTAAGTTATACAGCAGTTTTAATATCATAGGTTGCAAAGTAAAACTACATTTTCCTTTGTACCACAGGTAGTCCTTGATTTACAACAATTTGTTTAGTAACTGTTTAGTTATGGCACTGAAAAAAGTGATTTATGACCATTTTTCATATTTTTAGTCATAGCATCCCATGGTCATGTGATCAAAATCCAGACACCTGGTAACCCACTCATAGTTATGACAGCTGCAGTGTGCCCATCACCTTTTGCAAACTTCTGACAAGCAAATTCAATAGGGAAGCCAGATTCACTTAACAATCATGTTACTAACTTAATAATTTTAGTGATTCGTTTAACAACTGTGGCAAGAAAAATGGAGCATAAAATGGAGCAAAGCTCACTTTACTGTTTTAGTTAGCAATTTGGGCTCAATTATCATAAGATGGGAACCAGCTGCATTTCCAATTTTCCAGTCTCATTCCAGTCTCCAACCACAAGCAGCACATCTTATTTGTACATTTTGTCTATTTCAGATTAAACCTGATTATCAATTCACACACTCTCTCTCTCTCTCACTCTCTCTCTCTCCTTCTCTCCCTTCCTCTCTCTCTCTCCATCAGTGATTGGGACATACAATTGAATAACCATCATACAAAAAGGTTGACTGTGAAATCTAAGTGGTATTAGTCAGTGACAGCTTTTTACTTAAATGCTTAAATGCTTTACTATATCATTCTGAAGGAACAATAACATTCCTTCTTTGTTTTTCATATTCTGACTATAAAGAATATGATTTTGGGATTGAAAATAACAATTTCCAGTTTAACTTCAATTTGCTGATGCATCAGAAGCCAATGTATAGACAAGTCATTTAATTCTTCACTGTGTTGAATCTTCCCATGTTTGTATTTCTTATGCTCTATGTTCTCAGTATAATGCTATCTTTCAGCTTCAGCAATCACTGAAGGCTTTAACCTAAACAGTATCATCAGTATCTCACAACATCTAAGCTCTTCTTCAGTAGCATGTTGATAGTGTCATCTATCCAATGGGGTCCATCATCTGCCTCAATATTGATAACCATTTTACCTTGTCAGTCATGATTTATTTTGGCAAATGCACAGTAGATAAATACAGGATTATTTGAGAGGACTACATTTTCTGTGGTTAGATAAATTCTCACTATATTGGAAAGTGAGAATGTATTTACTTCTGCCTTGCAAGAATTTAGCCATCTGAACTGTGAATCTATTATGTGTTTTATTAGGAAGGAATTGAGTCATAGATATTTTAAAATATCTCTGTGGGTTTACTATAAGCAGTAGGGTGGCCATCCCAGAAAAATCTTTGTCTCTACAGATGTTCACATTCCACTATCTTAAAAATGGGGCTCTTGATTACCTAGGTTGTTTTTATAGATAAAACCTGTATGTATTTTAATTACTTATTTAATTAAAATTAATAAACTCCTCTCCTCCAAACTTAGCATAAAGGTTGATGAAAGATATAAAACCTAGGAGGGTAGTATCTGACATACATCATCATTCTTACCTCACAAGTTTTGCAATATAGATCACATTTTGCAATCATGGACAAATAGAACCTTATTATAAAGAAACCAAGCATTTACTCTTCAGAGCTTGAGACTTCTAGGATTCAAGATAGGGGTCATTGGAATGGATTAAGTACACTGCTCAAAAAAATTAAGGGAACACAAAAATAAGACATCCTAGATCTGAATGAATGAAATATTCTTATTAAATACTTTGTTCATTACACAGTTGAATGTGCTGACAAAAAAATCACACAAAAATTATCAATGGAAATCAAATTTAGCAACCCATGGAGATCTGGATTTGGAGTTACACTCAAAATTAAAGTGGAAAAAAACACTACAGGCTGATCCAACTTTCATGTAATGTCCTTAAAACAAGTCAAAATGAGGCTCAGGAGTGTGTGTGGCCTCCACATGCCTGTATGACCTCTCTACAATGCCTGGGCATGCTCCCGATGAGGTGGCGGATGGTCTCCTGAGGGATCTCCTCCCATACCTGGACTAAAGCATCCCCCAACTCCTGGACAGTCTGTGGTGCAACATGGCGTTGATGGATGGAGCAAGACATGATGTCCCAGATGTGCTCAATTGGATTCAAGTATGGGGAACGGGCGGGCCAGTCCATAGCATCAATGCGTTTGTCTTGCAGGAACTGCTGACACACTCCAGCCACATGAGGTCTAGCATTGTCTTGCATTAGGAGGAACCCAGGCCCAAGCATATGGTCTCACAAGGGGTCTGAGGATCTCATCTCAGTACCTAATGGCAGTCAGGCTACCTCTGGAGAGCACATGGAGGGCTGTGTGGCCCCCTAAAGAAATGCCCGCCCACACCATTACTGATCCTGACAAACCAGTCATGCTGGAGGATGTTGCAGGCAGCAGAACATTCTCCAGTGTCTCCAGACCCTGTCACGTCTGTCACATGTGCTCAGTGTGAACCTGCTTTCATCTGTGAAGAGCACAGGGCACCAGTGGCGAATTTGCCAATCTTGGTGTTCTCTGGCAAATGCCAAATGTCCTGCATGGTGTTGGGCTGTAAGCACAACCACCACCTGTGGACATCGGGCCTTCATACCACCCTCATGGAGTCTGTTTCTGACCATTTGAGCAGCCACATGCACATTTGTGGCCCACTGGAGGTCATTTTACAGGGCTCTGGCAGTGCTCCTCCTGTCCTTCCTTGCACAAAGGCGGAAGTAGCGGTCCTGATGCTGGGTTGCTGCCCTCCTAGTGTCCTCCACGTCTCCTGATGTACTGGCCTGTTTTCTGGTAGCGCCTCCATGCTCTGGACACTATGCTGACAGACACAGCAAACCTTCTTGCCACAGCTCCCATTGATGTGCTATCCTGGATGAGCTGCACTACCTGAGCCACTTGTGTGGGTTGTAGACTCCGTCTCATGCTACCACTAGTGAAAGCACCGCCAGCATTCAGAAGTGACCAAACCATCAGCCAGAAAGCATAGGAACTGAGAAGTGGTCTGTAATCACCACCTGCGGAACCACTCATTTATTGGGGATGTCTTGCTACCTGCCTATGCTTTCCACCTATTGTCTATTCCATTTGCACAACAGCATGTGAAATTGATTGTCAGTGTTGCTACCTAAGTGGACAGTTTGATTTGAGCAGTGTATATGTGGTTGATTCTGTTTTCCCTCTTTGGGTATATCTTAGGATACTCATGAGATTGCAACTTTCAAGTTAACTCTGGAAAGCCTGTCCTGCTCAAAATGTGATGCTCAATTCAGAGGTTGAAAAGAGCAGGAACTCAAAAGTAATGGTTCTTTGTTGGTGCTCCAATCCTGTATGAGCTCACCAGATCCTCAATGATGACAGTAGCTGAATAGAAATTGGAGCACTTTTGCTGGAAGGCAAAGATAACTGAACTTAAGTCCTCTTGGGCTTCCATACTTTTGAGAGATAATGGATAGTAAAACAATGGGAGAATATACATTTTAAAAAACCTTTCAAAAAACAAATTTCTCAAAAAAGGGACATATATAAGTAGCCAGTGTAATGTTCAGTTCAAATTTACCTTCAGTCACTCTCATTAAGTGACTTAGGTAAATCACTTTTTCTCATCTCAAGCGAACATAAGGTTAACAGGGATAAAATGAAAGATCCCTGTACAACACGTCCTGCACTCTTAGAGGAAAGGTAGGACATAAATCTTATTTGTACATAAATACATCATATTCCAATAACTAGTATTTAAATGGCCTAGTATAATATGTGAGTATAACTATCAGATTAAATTGTTAACATATGTTTTGTTTATATGAGAAACAGTGAAAGAATAGCAGGTGAGCTAGGTTAACAATGGTATGACACTGTAGAAAAGTATTCAAATAAATTTCTTACTGTTGGAGCTAGAGAAATGAAACAAACAAGGTTTTTTTTGACAAATACTTTATTTTGCAGCAGATACACAGATAGAAACACTCAACAAAATGTTTAAAATATTTTTAACTATTAATACAATGGAGAAGTGTTTGATAGTCTTATTGCACTAAACTTTTTCCTATTCTACATCACATAAAATCTAATAAAGTAGTCAGTTTTCCATTTCCATTTTGTTTCATTGTTTGTTTTACTGTTTTGTATTTTGTTTTCTACGATAAATAATAAATTTTAAATCAAAAATTTATTTACTTTAAAAAAAAATTCAGAGACCATTTACTATAAATATTTTACAATATTGGCTGATTTAAAAACACTCAAAAAGTCAATTAAATACTGTGATATTGCCACACAAATGCTACCCAAACCAAGCTGTTTTAAATTTACAATGTATTATCTTTTCAAATATTCTCTGCAAGAATGTGCTATTAGTCATATAGCATTAACATCACAGTACTACTGGCCAATAAAACAATAGGCAGTATTTTACGAAAGTCTTTTAATGCTGTATGTTGGGAAAAACTACTGAGCCTGCAAAAATGATACAGATTGAATAGCTACTATAGAAATATGGAGCAAGACCTTCTAACTGGATATGCAAATGCACAAGTTGTAGTAAGTTCAAATAAACTAAATAATCCCTTAAAATATAAAAGCACAGCACTTATTCAAGTCTCTTTTGTTCAGAGAATCACCAGGATGGCTTTGCATCAAGGATAATTGCTTCTAAGGTACAATATTCCAATTGTTTAGTATAGAAATAGTTTGTATATGGAATTCTGAATAGGAAATTACAAAACACCAGAATAATTAACTCATAAGATCCTCACAGTATGAACTATTTAAAGAAAGCTTGTTTTTTGTAAGGTCCGCAAAGCTATTTTAAGATGAATGCAGCAAAAAAATCCTTTGCTGGTCTTACTCAAAACAGAAAGAGGTAAGCAGTATTCTGAACAGACCTGGTACCATAGCATTTATAACATTGATATATTAGCAGATGTTTTACTAGATGGAATGTACCTTCACAGTAAAGCAAAAAGTACAACCAAGTATACCAACTATTCTATTATTAAGCCTGATGAAATTGGTCTTTAAATAGAGCATTCCTGCTATCTCAGAATTACATGTCTCTTTTCCCCTTGATGTAATTTTGTTCCCATTTTGTATTCCTAAGGAATTTTCCTAAAAGAATTATCATGAGACAGTGTAGCCCACTTTTATATTTTGAAAACTGCATTCAAAATTTGGAGCAGTTGTTCTTAGGATTCTGATCTTTATCATTTTTCAGTGAAATCAATTAGCTTCCTTAATATATTTTTCTTTAAAAAGTAGGAATCCATCTGAGAGCTACAGACAACATGAAATAATGGCATGTCAACAATAGTGGGATAGATCAGAATGATAGATTGCTTGCTGGGTATCTTAAGTAATTTATCTATAATATTCCAATTTTAAACCAATATAATTAGAAAGACTTGATGACTTCTTTGTGGAGAGAAGGTAAGAGATTTTCATTCAAAAGTTTATAGATATCTCTTTGTGTGTATTATTACTATTATTTTGTGTGAGAATACTTTATTTAGGATTTAAATAAATTATGTATTTGGAATCATTACATGCAAATATTTGCTAGAAGTAGGAATAATTTCTAATACCTCTAAGGTCTTGGGAGCTTTATGTATATATAGATGCAAACACATATACAGTGTCTCTGTGTATATATATTTCTACCAGTAGTAGTACTGAAAATTTAAATCTTAAATCAGAAACTGGGAAAAATACTCACCTGAATTGCTCAAGAACTTAAATTTGTTAAATACAAGACAATTTCTGACTTGTTTCTCAAGATCTGAAGCCTAATACTGGGGTGATTTAATAAATCAGGCAGCAGGATTTTTTTCTTTTCTATTAATTAGGAATGCAACATATGGCAAAGTACAAAGGTATAGGTTACAAGAAATCCAGTAATCAAATTCTTGGGATTCTGTGATAGTAGTCTTTTGTTCTAAAATTTATACAATTTCCCAAATTTGCCAAGCCAGATTAGACACGAAAACTGTATGGTAGCATCTTATTCCTGCACCTGGCTCTTCTAATTCTGGTTCATTAAACAAACGAGCCAGAAAACAAATGCCAGATAATTGTTATTGACCACGGGAATTTGAAGGATCCATCTGATTCAACTCTGATTGATCCAATAGTTCAAAATCATCTCCTTCAGCATCTGTATCCAGCTCTGAGCTGGAGGTCCGAAGGAAAGCCTTGGCACTTCGCTGCTGTCTGTTGCTATGCACAGCAGACTGGGAAGTTCCTGATAAGGCTAGCTGAATCATTCCCCTGGTCACAAAACCAGCTAAGTCATCTGTCAGATTATGCATTAATGGAAGCTCACTCAGGAGGAATTCTGAAGTCACTGCTTCCTGTTTATGAGACTGTTGGTTTTGTTCCTGGGCCTGGTTATGGGGGGCAAGGCTTGGAATGCCAATGCTGGTGTCATCCTCATCATCTATGCCTGTCACCTCAGGGTTGATAGAAGGGAAATCTGGAAGATCTCGAGCAAAAGATTCTTCTGGATCACTGTGGCCATCAAAGTCTAAAGAGAATTTTAATGGATAATTAAATTCATGTCTCTGTATATGTGTGAACAAATTTTCCTGTCATTTAACTGTATTTTTTTTTCAGACAAAATGTCTTTTGGGCTACAAATAAAGATAATAATTTGTGTCTGGAACTTTGTACTTTGATATGACCCAAGGGCTAAACAATAAAGTAAGTGAAAGATGTTATGAAACTGAGTATTTTGAAACCTTACAGTAGAACTGACTTCCATACATGAGGAACATAAAAATCAAACAGACTGAATTACAGCATATAGACAATGTTGGAGGAACCAAATACTCATCTATCTGCTGTCTGCTAACCTTAACTGACAAATGGATTTTAAACTCATTCTGACACAGATACTTTCTTATCCTAGAAAGTTGTGAAACAAGGTTCTTGCTCAATAAAGAAGTCAGTTGATCTTAGTTTTTATCTTCCCATATCAGAGTCACTCCTCAACATCCAATTTAAGTGCAAACATTTTAGAGCAGCTCTATCATGTTTTCATATTGGATAGTAGGTAGCTGTTTGGTTTTTGTTTTGTTTGCCTTTTTATCCGGATGGACCTCCAAAATGATTTAAGTGATATTTAATGTTAAATGCATCTAGTATTTTTTTTGCATTCATCTACTTACCCTCAGAACCTTCTGTCAATGGTGTTTGGCCCCGGGATAAATTGAAGGTCCCATTCTCAGTATAAGACACTTCTGCATCAGAATGCTCAGAGTCAGAGAGAGTCAGCTGCTTGACAACCACAGCATCATCCAACTTGGGGTAGGGGGAAGAAAAAAGTTTGAATACTTTTGACAAAGGCAATTGTACATACATTTAGTTATTCCTGTCATCCTTTTTCTTCTTTTTATTTGTTTTATTGCTTTATTTTGATTGTTGTGAACCAAGAAGTTTTTTGGGGAATTGGGTAGCAAAATAAAAATTATATATACTGTAAGATGCTCCCACTTAACTATGCCAATTTTTACAGAACTATAAATAATTCTATTTCCTTCAATAGTTGACTTGAAGAGTTCAGAGCATCAAAAATAATCATATTTAAAAATCTCCAAAATGAAATTTAAATATTATGTACTAACAATTGATTTATATACGAATAAATAAAAATTTGCTCAAGAAATATTTAAATGCTTTTATTATCTTAAGCTCCTTCATGGATTACTGCCTTGTCGTGGTGAAGGGGCTTGTGTAGCTCAGTGAAGCTATGAGCTATGCCGTGCAAGGCTGCCCAAAATGGACAGATCATAGCAGAGAGCTCTGACAAAACATGATCCACTGGAGAAGGAAATGGCAACCCACTCCAGTAATTTTCACATGAAAACCCCATGGACAGTACCAAAAGGAAAAAAGGTATGATGCTAGAAGATGAGCTCCTCGGGTCGGAAAGTGTTCAATATGCTACTGGGGAAGAGCAGAAGGCTAGTATTACTAGCACCAGAAAGAAGGGAGCAACTGAGCCAAAGCTGAAAGGACGCTCAGCTGTGGATGTATCTTGTGGTGAAAGGAAAGTCCCATGCTGTAAAGATCTATACTTCATAGGAACCTTTGATGTAAGATCCATGAATCAAGGCAAGCTAGATGTGATCAAACAAGAGATGACAAGACTGAACATTGACATCTTAGGAATCAGCAAACTAAATGGACAGGAATGAGTGAATTTAATTCAGATGACTATCAGGTATACTATTGTGGGCAAGAATTCCTCAGAAAAAATGGAGTAGCCTTCATAGTCAATAAAAAAGTAGGAAAAGCAAAACTGGGATACAATCCCCAAAACGATAGAATGATCTCAGTTCAAATCCAAGGCAAACCATTCAACACCACAGTAGTCCAAGTCCCAACCTCAACCACTGGTGCTGAAGAGGATGAAACTGACCAGTTCTATGAAGCCCTACAGTACCTTATAGAATTAACACCAAAAAATGATGTCCTTATCATTATGGGGGATTGGAAAACTAAAGCAGGAAGCTAAAAGATAACTGGAGTAACAGGCAAGTTTGGCCTTGGAGTACAAAATGAAGCAGGGCACAGGCTGATAGAATTGTGTCAAGAGATGGTCATAGCAAACACTCTTTTCCAATAACAAGAGATGACTCTACACATAGACATCACCAGACGGTCAACACAGAATTCAGTTTGACTATGTGCTCTACAACTTAAGAGGGAGAAGCGCCATACAGCCAGTAAAAAATAAGACCAGGAACTGATTGTGGCTCAGATATGAGCTTCTTGTTGCAAAATTTAGGCTTAATTTGAAGAAAGTAGGGAAAAGCACTAGGCCACTCAGGTATGAACTAAATCGTATCCCTGATGAATATACAGTAGAGGTGACAAATAGATTTAAGGAATTAGATCTGATAGACAGAATGCTTGAAAAACTATGGAAGAGGTTCTCAACATTGTACAAGAGGTAACAACTAAAATAATCCCACAAAAAAAAAAAAAGAAATGCAAGAAAGCAAAATGGCTGTGTGAGGAAGCTTTGCAAATAGCCGAGGAAAGAAGGGAAGTGAAAGTCAAGGGTGAAAGAGAAAGACACACCCAACTGAATGCAGAATTCCAGAAAATAGCTAAAAGAGATAAGAATGCCTTCTTAAATGAACAGTGCAAAGAAATAGAGGAAAACAATAGAATAGGAAGGACTGAGATTAAGAAGAGGTGGCAAAATTACATAGAAGAACTATACAAGAATGAGCTTAACTCCCTGATAACCATGATGTGGTCACTGACCTCAAGCCAGGCATCCTAAAATCTGAAGTCAAATGGGCCTTAGGAAATCTACAAACAACAAAGCTAGTATAAGTGACAGTATTCCAGCTGAGCTATTCAAAATGTTAAAGTTATGCTCAAAATCCTAAAGTTAGGCTCCAACAGTATGTGGATCAAGAACTAGCAGAAGTACAGGCATGATTTCGAAGAGGCAGAGGAACTAGAGATCAAATTGCCAACATACGCTGGACCATGAATAAAACTAGGGAGTTCCAGAAAAATATCTACTTCTTCTTCATTGACTATACTAAAGTCTTTGATTGAGTGGATCACAACAAGTTGTGGCAAGTTCTTAAAGAGATGAGCGTACTAGACCATCTTATTTTTCTCTTGAAAAACCTGTATGTGGGTCAAGAAGCAACAGTGAGAACTGGACACGGAACCACTGATTGGTTCAAAATTGGGAAAGGAGTTTGGCAAAGCTGTATACTGTTGCTCTGCCTATTTAACTTATATGCAGAGCAAATCATGAGAAAGGCGGAGCTAGATGAATCAAAAGCTGGAATTAAGATTGCCGGGAGAAATATCAAAACCTCAGATACCACCCTAATGGCAGAAAGTGAAGAGGAACTAAAGAGCCTCTTGATACGGGTGAAGAAGGAGGGTGCAAAAGTTGGCTTGAAACTCAACATTAAGAAAACTAAGAATCATTGTGTATTCCACTGTTAGAAGTTATGAATGAAGTTATGTTAAAAAAGATAATACCTAAAACATGGTCAGAGGCTTATATTACACTTATTCCAAAAGAGGAGGCGGACCTACTTCAAATCAAGAATTATAGACCGATTTCCTTATTAAATGCAGATTATAAAATTTTTGCTTCAATATTAGCAGAAAGACTTAAAAAGTATCTGAATAACTTTATCCACCCAGATCAAAATGGGTTTCTGCCAAAGCGACAAATTAGAGACAATATGAGAGTAATTCTGGATACCTTGGAATATTATGAGGCGCATCCTGAAAAGCAAATGGCTTTGATATTTTTAGATGCTCAAAAGGCATTTGATAACGTAAATTGGAGATTTATGTTACTTTTAATGGAACAGATGGGCTTTGCTAGAAGATTTATTCAGGCAATAGAAGCAATTTACAATGAACAAACAGCTAAGGTAATGATGGAGGGAGAATTTACAGATCCTATTAATATAAGAAAAGGCACAAGACAAGGTTGTCCTCTTTCTCCCTTGTTATTTGTATTGACTTTGGAAGTGTTGAATAGAAATATCAGAGAAGATAAAACTATAAAAGGAATGAAAATTAAAAAGGAAGAATTTAAACTACAAGCTTTTGCAGATGACCTAGTTTTATCCTGGAAGACCCTATAGAAACAGCCTTGAAGCTGTTGGAAAAGATAGAGGCATATGGGGAGGTGGCCGGTCTGAAAATAAACAAAGATAAAACAAAGATTTTGTCAAAGAATATGTTGCTGAGACAAAGAGAAGAACTGGCAGAATTGTTAAAAATTCAAGTTACAAATAAGGTTAAGTATTTGGGGATATATTTGACGCCAAGATGTAGTACATTAAAGGAGAACAATTATATTAAACTTAAACAACAGATAGCCCAAGATTTGAAAAAATGGGAAAACCTACAATTGTCATTAATAGGAAGGATTTCAACAATTAAGATGAACATTCTACCCAGAATTTTATTTTTGTTTCAAACAATACCAATTAGGCTTGGAAAAGAATATTTTGAGGATTTAAATAAAATTGTTTTGAAGTATATATGGCAAGGCAAGAAAGCAAGGATAAAGTTAAAGCTTTTACAGGATGCTAGATCTAGAGGAGGGTTTGGCCTGCCTAATTGGGAGTTGTACTACAAGCTACAAATTTGATGTGGGTTAAAGAATGGATAACATTAAGGAAAACTAGATTGTTGACATTAGAAGGTCATGATTTGTTGTTGGGTTGGCATGCTTTTTTATGGTATAAGGGAACCAAACCACAGGGGTATTTTAGAAGACATTATATACGGGAGTCTCTGTGGTTAAATTGGGAGAAGACAAAAAAACAATGTTATTTGAAAATTCCAGTTTGGTTATCAACGATAGAAGCGTTTTCTTACCCTATAATTTATAAAAAGGAACAAACAGTTAGCTATGGGGAATTACTAGATGAAAAGGGTGAACTTAAATCGATGCAAAAATTAGAGGAACAAGGTATACAGATGAATTGGTTTTCATATCTGCAAATACATTCAAAGTATTATGAGGATTCCAAGGCAGAGGGATTTTATGATAAACAAACTGATTTAGATAAGATTTTGATGGGTACTGATGAAAAGGTGATTAAAAAATTATACGGTTACTTATTGGAAATTAAGCTGGAGGAAGAACAAGTTAAAGAAACTATGATTGCTTGGGGGAGGAATTTTGGATATGGGATTGACTTAGAGAAATGGCAGAAATTATGGTTGCAAAATTATAAAATGACAATGTCTACAGCCTTTAAAGAAAATTTGTATAAGATGTTTTACAGGTGGCATTTTCCCCCGACAAGGATAGCAAGAATGTTCAAGAACAAATCCGAAAAATGCTGGAAATGTCATCAGAAACCGGGTTCATACTACCATATGTGGTGGACTTGTGAGGATGCTAGAAAATATTGGACTAAAATCCACATGTGGTTGGAAAAAATGACAAAGAAGCACATAGACTTGAAACCGGAGCTTTTTTTATTGGGAATCTTACCAGATGTCTATAGTAAAGAGCTGAAATATTTGATTGTAAATGTATTGACTGCGGCTAGGATTGTATTTGCAAAAAATTGGAAAAATGAGAAAATTCCATTGCAGGAAGAAGTTATAAAGAAAATATTGGAATGTGCTGAGATGAGTAGATTGACTTTTGAAATTAGAGAGCAAGAAGATAAACAATTTTATATAGTTTGGGATCTTTTCTATCAATGGTTGAATGATGAAATACAAAAATAGAAATGTTAGACAATAAGGAATAATATTGATTCCATTTTTCTTTTCTCTTTTTTGGTACTGGATATTATATTTATATAATAGTTTTCTTTTTCTTTTTTTTCTCTTATTTAGGATAGAATTGGCACGATTATATGATTTGTTTTAGAATAAATTACTCAAAATATAGTTATCTCACAAAGGCATGATCGAATAAAAGTTTAGTCAAACAACTTCTTTTTTTAATAGTGATATTATGATTTATAAGTTTGTATTGACAATAAGAGTTATTATATAAGGTAATTGTAATTGTGACTATGAGATGAGTGCACAAAACTGATGAACCAACCGACTCACTGTTTGTATATAAATATGGGGGAGCTGATGTTTTTATGTTTTGTCTGTTTGTTTGTATGTCAAAAAACAATAAAAACTTTTTTTTTTAAAAAAAAAGAAAACTAAGATCATAGCATCCGGTCCTCTCAATTCCTGGGAAATAGATGGGGAAGAAATGGTGGTAGTATTTTATTTTCCTGGGCTCCAAGATCACCACAGATGGGGACTACAGCCAAGAAATTAAAAGACACTTGTTCCTGGGGAGGAAAGCTTTGACAGCATACTAAAAAGGAGACATCAAAAGTGTGTATAGTCAAGTCCCAGTTGCAATGTATAGCTGTGAAAGTTGGACCGTAAGGCTGAGTGCCAAAGAAATGAGGTCTTTGAACTATGGTGCTGGAGAAGACTCCTGCGAGTCCCTTGGACTGCAAGGCGATCAAACCGATCAGTCCTAGAGATCAACCCTGACTGCTCTTTAGAAGGCCAGATCCTGAAGATGAACCTCAAATACTTTGGCCACCTAATGAGAAGGAAGAATTCACTGGAGAAGAGCCTAATGCTGGGAAAGCTTGAGGACAAAAGAAGAAGGGAACAACAGAGAATGAGGAGGCTGGATGGAGTCACTGAAGCATAGGCGTGAGCTTAAATGGACTCCGGAGGATGGTCGAGGACAGGAAGGCCTGGAGGAACGGTGTCCATGGGATTGTGATGGGTTGGACACGACTTCACAGATAACAACAAAATTGTCTTAAGGGAATCATACCAGAGAATACAATGATGTGTAAGTATAAAAAATAAAATTGAAAGCAAGCAAGCAACCACCATAATGGCTACTGCACACATTTATTTTTTGCTGATTTGGTGTATGTTTATTGGTCTCTGTATTCTGTTGAAATGTGGTTTACAGCAGAAGTCCCCAACCCCTGGGCCACGCAAGCAGCAGGTGAGTGCACAAAGCTTCATTTGTGCATGTGTGGGAGCTAGATTGTGCATGCCCTCCACCCCATTGCCAGTCTGTGGAGCCAGAAAGGTTGGGGATCACTGGCCCATAGGCTATAAAAACGAAAGTTCTGGCTTTGGTGAAAATCTAATTACTCCAAGGAGCAAGAGTCTGTACCCGAGATGCAATTTTTACAAAACAAATCCAATAGCATCATTTAAAAAAACCCTCTATTATAATAATAATAATTTATAAATACTTCATTGTTCAAGTCATGGAAACATTACTATCTCTCCCCATTGCACTCTTTCCACAAATTTCAACAATATGCCACCCTTTACCAAAGTCTGTGCTACTTGTACCTTAGGACAAAAAGCAGCAAGTTCTTCTTCACTGTCACTCTCATCAACTCCAGAATGCTCCCTCCAAATGTGGTGATGTGCTAAAATGAAGTTAGAGATCTATCTTCACAAAAGTAAATTGAAGAAAGAAGGACCAAAACAAGACTATTTATAGAATCAGATTCCCGAATTTGAACATCTACAAGAAATGGCCAGCTCCCAAAAAATGTTTAGGACAGGAAAATGTTTGTGAATATTCCATAAGCATATTTAATAATTTCATCCAAAGCATAAAGATGCCAAGTCTTTCATGCACCATCAAAAAGATATAGTAGACAAAATGTAAAATAAAAAGAGCCTCTTGCACTCAAATAATGGTTAGTTTCAGACTCACACTGTCTCTCCTTATGTTTGGACATCATATAACCACGAACACTGAAGTCTAATCGTTGCAGAGCTGGCTGTAGTTTGGTGTAGAGATGTTGACTCAGGTTATGATATACAGCAAGTGGCCACAATAAGAAAGAAAGCACTGGAGAAAAAGAGTGGTTAGAAGACTACTATTCCATAAACACCTCCAGGAAACATTTTGGAACAAGTGGGTAAAACTTGAGGTTGCTATTAATGAACATTTTACAATGCACCACAGCAAATTCAAATTGGGCACAGTTAACTCACTTTTTGACCCTGCATTTTAAAATCTTTATACATGATTTCCCCCTTTTTTAAGAAAAGTATTTTAGTATCCAGTTATCCCCTTGATACTCACTTATAAGATAGGCAAGACAGACACCAGGGATGTAGTGTCCTAAGACAGCCAAAAATGTAAGGACACCACAAGCTAAAAGGCAGAACTGCAAAAACAAAACAAAATCTTGAAATCGGTTCGTGTTAGGCAAACTGGTTATGACTCAAGACAATTGTAGGTATATTTGGACTGCTGTCAACAAACTGCTTTTTGAGAAGTGATATCAAACTGAAATTATATATGTGACTGAGGCTGGAGCATGGCAGAAGTATCAATTTCTGTTGCCTTCAACATATGGGCATGGGGGACAGAATCAGAGCAAATTGTTGGTTGAAAGCTGCGTCAAATAAAAATGGGATGTGCTATATTCTCTATTCTTGTACCCCCTTATTTTTCCAATTTCCCTTTTCTTATGTATATAAATTACAAAGCAGCATATTCTTATGCAGGAATATTCAACTACCTCATTTTTTCAGGTTTTTGCCTTGGCATAGATTTCTCCCATCCCACAATTAACACATGGTTGTTACTACTACTTGGGATTGTTTTTCACCTTGCCAGGATTTTGCGTTTTGAAACTCAGCAGGCTTCTCATGAAGCTATCTCCTGTGATGCATCCTTTGGCCAAAAAGTGGCATAGTTCAGGAACACTCAAAAGTCGAGGATGGACAAAGCCCCAGCTGGGAAAAAAATGGAGTACATTTTACTTGATTGTAAAATACGAATACACACAGTACAATTTTCAAATAGCTGCATTTCACTTACAAAGATAATTAATATTTGTAATGTACATCTTGCAGATAAAAGCTAAAGTGCTATTTGTCCTGCTCAAATCCATAATAATAAAAGAATTTTTACTGTGGTATACTGACCCCCCAATAAAATGTCACCTGCCTTTTCATTAAAATGCATAGGTACTTAACCCCAGAAAATATTCTCTGACTTAAGAATCTGTTACAGCAGGAATAGATTTTAACAAATGGCATTTTTGCAAATGCATAGAAGTTAATGAGACTTTTTGTGAATACTTTAAATTGGACATGAGCCAAATAATTCATCTTTCTAGTTCTAATTTGCATCTGAAAGAGTAATTAATTTCCAGTAAACAATCTTGACTATGTACTCAGAGCAATTAAAAAGCAGCCACAAATATTTTTTTCAAACTTTTAGTATTTTATTTCAAGAAAACTGGAAACTACATGTTTATTCATTTAGATTTATGAGACTTAATATGGCATACCATCTGATCCAACTGATTTTTACTGCAGAATATTAATCTTACTCCTAAACAATACATGTTTTCTGACATAGATATACAAAAAGAAAAGATTCACTGAATTCTTATTTTTAGAAATAAGAGGTCTGTTCTTAAACCAGTATTTAAATATCTTTTCTTGCTAATTATAACAAATATGTAAGCTGTATATATAGTTCTCAACTTACAACAGTTCACTTAGTGACTGTTTAAAGTTATAACGGCATTGAAAAAAAATGACTTACGACTGTTTTATCAACTTAAAACCATTGCAGTATCCTCAATGGTCATATGATTTACATCTGGATGCTTGGCAACTGACTCACATTTATGACAGTTGTAGTGTCCCTGATCATGTGATCCCCTTTTGCGATTGTCTGACAAACGAAGTCAATGGGGAAACCAGATTCACTTAACAACTGTGTTACTAATTTAACAACTGCAGTGATTCATTTTAAATGTGACAAGAAAAGTTGTAAAGTCACAACAAAATTCACTTAACAAATTTCTCACTTAGCAACATACATTTTGGGCTCAATTTTGGTCGTAGGTTGAGGACTACCTGTACAGACAATAAAAATGCATAATTAAGATGACTTGATTTTTCATACCTTCCATTGTCTAGTTGATCAGGTCTTACTGCTAAAACATTAAAGATACAATCAAGATTAGTTGTAAAAATGCCTGGAAATTTACTAAGCTGAATAATTAAAATGTAAGTTGACATGGCATTTTATTACTGATAGTCATGAATGGAAAACAGAATGGACGCTGTGGTAAACTGTTTAAGAAACTCAATTACATATCCTCCTTCCCTTCCTTCTGCAGTTATTTAGGAAAATAATGCAATTGCCTTTACTAAATATCATTACACTTGACTGATAGTACTGCATTATGGAAATATAGAGATTTCAGTTAAGATCCAGGCCGATCTACTATCCTTCAATCAACAAGTATCAAGTTGACTGTATTTGGGTCTTTACCAGTTTACTGGGAAGAAACTAAATGGGTCTTTTATAGTCATACATTATATATTTGTCCATTACCTTTGAAAAATATTGTTGGCCTATAATAAATGTGAATAACTGTTTTAGGAAGAAACCATTTAAACATCTATTAAACTTGAATCTTTCTAAGGAACTTAGAGCAGCTGTTCGTCCTTAGAAGAATTTAGTGACTGGATTGAAGGTATATGGCTGAGTATATACAACATTAACTAAACCATAATGCATTTTTTTTGGCTTTTACTTGGTATATTCTGTGAACATGTGAATTGCATTTTGTAGCAAATGGTTTATCACTTATTATGGTTTATTCAATAAATGGTTAAAAAAACATGCATTGAGGTGATTACTTCAACCAATTCTCTTATTGTGTTCTATGGAATCAAAAATTTCAATCTTGATTTCCTGAGTCCACACTAATATATGCCTGTTTCTTTAATTGGTGCCCTCCAGGTGCCCTCTAGTCATGTATTACTCATGACTAGCATGCTCTATCAGGGCTGCATAATTTTTTATAGGCTGAAGCTTGCACATGGCTTTTGAATGGCATGTTGCCATTTAATTTAACAATGTTTATTTTAATTAAATCTAAATGTATATTCTGTGAACATGTGAATTGCATTTTGTAGCAAATGGCTTATCAATAATTATGGTTTATTCAATAAATGGTTAAAAAAACATGCATCCATAGGTGATTACCTCAACAAATTATCTTATTGTGTTCTATGGAATCAAAAATTTCAATCTTGATTTCCTGAGTCCACAATAATATATGCCTGTTTCTTCAATTGGTGCCCTCCAGATGTATTACTCATGACTAGCATGCTCTATCAGGCTGCATAATTTTTTCTAGGCTGAAGGTTGCACATTGTTTTTGAATCGCATGTTGCCATTTAATTTAACAATGTTTATTTTAATTAAATCTAAATGTAAATCTGATACTTCTCCAGTAATTATTACAACATTATTTTTCTTTTGGTACACAAAAATTACAACTTTATAACAGGTTTTGATCCACATTTTGGGGGAAGTGAATGTTGCCTTTTTCTATATTATGTCACTTGAATATATATTTTAATTTTACAGTTCCGTAGCATAAGAAAAAAAAATCCTCCCAGACTGGACTATACTACATATTTTTTTCAATTGTGGACTCCATGTGGCAAATTATCTTCTATGCATTCAGGCATTTAAAAATGAATAGTGCTACTTCTTGTATCCAGTATTAATATATTTTTGATTGAAAACTATTAAAATTTTCTTCTAAAAGTTGGCTTTCTGTAGCTGTAACATACTATTATTTTTCTCACTTAATATTGTTGTGCACAGACTAGTAGTGTAAGCAATCCTTTCTTGTACAACCTGATGGAGACACACCAATATTGTTTTCTGGTATCAGAGAATCTTGAGAAATTCCAAAATTCTCATCTACCTTCAGTTACAGATTTTGAGCCTGGTAATTATATAATGATAGTAGATGAGAAATTATAAATGAGATATAATTATCAAAAGGAAAGTGAGCATACCTTTTATTTCAGGCCAGATTCTATTCTTCCACTTATTTAAACATACTATTAGTATTAGGGTGAATGCAGCTAAGAATATCAGATGAAGAGAGGTCAGGGCAAAAAACCTAAAGGAAAATAAATCCGGTTATTGCAAGAGGTTTTTTTTTTTTTTTTGAAGAGTGGATTATTATATAAAAAGAACAGGAAAACTTAACTGGGCCACCAAACAGAAGTCAGGATAAATAATGCTGCATTGTTACCAACACTAAATTGCCAGAGAGCAGAAGATATTGAACAGAAATAACCCAATGAACTTTTATTTTTTTTCTTTCACTTTCTATAGTTTTCAATAAATCAAAATTCCTAATTAAGGTTTAATCCAGTTTTGAATGATATGATACAAAACTCCAACTCTAGCTAAAATAGCTCTAAGAATAAATTACACAGGACAACACCTTTGCTAAATTGGGTGGTTTGCATTATTTTTTTCAATTAGCTTTTTTTAAACTTATTTTTAATTTAGTTTTTTGACTTAACAAAAAGACTGATAATGATTTAGATGAACCTGAAAGCACATTAATCTTTTAGTAGCAATATCATTTAGACTTATATACCGTTTTACGGTGCTTTACAGCCATCTCTAAGCAGTTTCCAGAGTCAGCATATTGCTCCCAACAATTTTGGGTCCTCATTTTACCCACCTCGGAAGGATGGAAGGCTGAATCAACTTTGAGCTTGGTGAGATTTGAATTGCCAAATCGCAGGCAACCTGCAGTCAGCAGAAGTAGCCTGCAATACTCTACTCTAACCATGACACCACCATGGCTCATGATGGCTTAATGACTTTCATATAATGAGTTGGGGGTTTTTTTGGATCAACATGGCTACATTTACTTTTGGCTTAAAAATATCTTCTATGTTTTCTTCTAGTTTTTTTAAAAAAATATAAAATCTTTGAATAAAAATTATGTTTTAAAAATATAACAGCGTTATCAATTTTATATTGTATAATTATGAAAGAACATTATATCAATCTATAATGTTGTATTAAGAATGATTACACAATAAAACAAAAAAAAACATTCTCATTCTCATTGTTGGAATTAGTATTAGTAACAATGCTTTTTAAAAGAGTAATTATTTTAAAGCCAAATCTAAACTGAGCATTAGTGTCAAATTTATGAGAGACAGTATCACTCAGTAGTGTTCATCAAATGACATATCAGCATGTTTTATGAAAAAAGAATTGAAAACATGCTTGTTCCTCAGTGAATAGGAGCCATATTATCAATTCTTTGCAAATATAATTGCAACAATTTGAACTGCTAAGACATTAACTGTGTTCATTTTACAATGATTTAATCAAACCAGAAAAATTCATTCAAAGAATTCAAATTCCCATTTATAACAATGGCAATTTTTTTTTTATCTTCCTTGTAGAATGAACATGCCTTGGAATGTTTTCTTTCTCAATAAACACAGAAAATAACACAATATTACAAATAAAATACGACTCAATGGCACATTTTCAGAAAAACAACTTTTTGCTACACAATAACAAGACCAAACTTCAAAAAATTCTTAAAGTTCTCAACCTCAACTGTGTGATAAATATTTCACTATTTCCCTGACCTAATCTTCTGTTCCATTATTATCTGCTTACATTTTTGTTTCACAATTCAATTATTCAAGAAGTGAAAGCTGTAGCTTCTTTTGGGTTGAAGTAGAACATATGACTTTTTGGAAGTGGGAAACAACCCAGCAAGCCGATTCCTCTAGAATGGATGTCAGCAACCCACGGCTCTGGAGCTGCATGTGGCTCTTTCAGCCCTCTGCTGTGGCTCCTGATGCCACTGCTGTTGCCGCCTCCATAGCCTGCTCGCTGCTCTCGCAGCACCTTATGCACACAGTGAAATTTAGCGCACTTCACAATGGGAGACATGAGGTCCCTTCCTCCTCCTGGAGCCCATTACGGCATGGAGCCTCAATGCAACCCTATCCCCTACTTGTCCCTGGCAACAGCAGTGGAGTCGTCAGCTTGCCGGACCTCCTGGATGTCAGTTGCTTTTCCTGCAGAGCCAGCAGGCCACCTGTGTTGTGATGCCCTACCTCCCTTCCAGCCAACTGGTGTTTAGCTCTCCGCTGACAAGGTGATCATTGGCAAGCTGCTCATAGGCTGGTTGGCCTGCAAATGTCAGCACCTGTTCAGAGGTTCCTTCCCCCAAAGGTTTGAGAGTGGCATGGGTGAGGCTAGTGTCTCAGGGCAGAGACGGTCATGCATCTCCAGTACCAACAGAAGCCTGAAGTAGCCGCACATCGTTTTCTGCTGTAATCTGTCTGGCAGCAAGACCCAGAGAGAGATGGGGGGGCACGAAAAGGAGAGAGAGAGGAGAGAGAGAGAGAGAGAAAAGGGAAAAAATAGAGAGGAGAGAGAAGGGAAAAAGTAGAGAGGAGACAGAGAGAGGAGACAGAGAGAGAAAGGGGAAAAAGAAAGAGAAGGGAAAAAGGAGAGGGGAGAGAGGAGACAGAGAGGAGAGAGAAGGGAAAAAGAAAGAGAGAGAAGGGAAAAAGGAGAGGAGAGAGAGAAGGGGAAAAGGAGAGAGAGAGGTGAAGGAGAGGGGGCCTGGTGAACAACACACCTGAGGCCAAATGTGGCAAGGCATGGCTGGGAAGGAGGGGCACGGTGGGGCCAGGAGGGGCAAATAATCAATTCTCTGCCCTACTGACTGGCTGGGTAGGTGTGTCTGGGGGAGGGTCATATGACTGGGTGGGAATGAGTGATGTTGAGTTGGTCACACCTACCCAGTCACACCTGTTGTTAAATTATTGGTTCCTGGTGTTTTCTTTTCTGTGGAAAACAGATCCAAATGGCTCTTTGAGTGTTTAAAGTTGCAGACCCCTGCTCTAGAATAACTCATCTGGAAGGACAGTCAGTTACAGCATGGAATCAGATCTGCCTGGTCAAGAACATGGTTTTCTCATGGGTGGTGATGAGAATCAGCTTAAGAAACAGAGAGGAAATCTATAAAAGTACTTAAAGTTCAAAAGATATTGCTAAAAAGAATGGAAAACCTCTGTATTTCTTTAATTACTGAGCTTGCTGCACTATGAACTTATTTATGACATCCTCTTCCTAAAACAGCATTTTATCAACTCCATTAAATTTATAAAGAATTCCAATTTAGATTTAGCCAACACTCCCTTTAACGTATATATGTTTTCAGTACAAAGCAAAACTTCATGAACTCAATTTGCCAAGCAGGCCGTTTAAGTAGGTAATGTTTTTTACAGGCTTCTTTTGGAAATATGCACTACAACAGTGATTTTTACATAAATACTTTAACTTCAAATAAGCCCCCCACCCCACCCCCCAACAAGATAACAATAGTGTTTTAGGCCCAGGGCAAGTTTTCTGTGGCTTATTTTCCCATTCCCTTTCAATTAGAAATAATAATGGAAATAGGATTAATCTTTTGCATTCCTAATTATGTGGGGCTTTTGAATCAGAGCTGTTGAGCAGAACCCTGTGAATGACATCTTACGTTCTCTACACAACATCAACATTATTGCACCCTTTCTCCCCGACTTCCAATCTCTTCCATTAGTACAAAGCCCACCACTATGTATGTATGTATGTATGTATGTATGTATGTATGTATGTATGTATGTATGTATGTATAAAGGAGAATATTTGTAGCTCAGGATTGCATGAAAACAAACAACTCAGAGAGCACCAAAGCCCCCAACCAGACTTTCACCCTCCGTCCCGAAACGGTTGTTCCTCTTCCTCCGTGCCCAGAAATCCCTCCATTTCCACATCCCCGCATCCTTCTTTGTAAAGCTGCTCACCCGAAAACTACATGAGCAACAACCCAGACAAAGGCGCTCCTTGCTGGCTTCTCCCAGGTGAGCGTGGCCTGTAGAGCTGTCAAGACCGGTTCGTAAGGCCCGAGGTGGGTCCTCAAGAAGGCGCTCAAGGCACGCACTCGCTGCTCCCGCTCCGAGGACGGGGCCTGGGCATCAGTAACGAGGCCGCCGCCGTGTGGCTGCCTACTGCTGCCTACTACTACTTCCGCCGCTGCCATTCTTCCTTCGCCCAGCATCACTGAGAGACCGCTTGAAGAAACGGTAGGATTACCATTCTTCGTTAACAACTGCTGCTGCAGCCGCCACCTTTACAGCCGGAACGCAGCCCCTACCCCACCAATTTACGCACACTCCCATGGCCGCTCACGTGCCGCTCTAAATCACAGGAAGTGACAATGTTAGATGCGACATCTTGTTGTACGGAAAAAGTGCGCGCGCGCGCACCCCCCCTTCAAGTTTAATTGCTTCAGCGCATGCGTGTTGCCAAAATAAAGCTAGCAGATAGGAGAAGAAGCGGCTGCGCGATTAGCAACGGCATATTCTTTTTTTTTTTTTTTAGAAAAGCGGGAACAACTTAGGGAAGCATCGGTGTTAACTCCAGAAGAAGAGGGTTTGGATTTTAATCCACACTCACTATGCCTCGGGAGATTATTACTCTGCAGCTGGGGCAGTGTGGCAACCAAAGTAAGGCCAAGAGAAAAGGCCTATGGGGTGTGTGTGTGTGTGTGTATGTATGTGTGTATGTATGTGTATACATACTTATGTATGTATGTATGTGTGTATGTATGTGCATGTGTGTGTGTGTGTGTGTGTGTATGTATGTGTGTGTGTGT